CCGCCACCTGCCGCCCGCGGGCGCGACCGAGGGGGGCCGGGGACGCGCCTCCGCCCGCTGCCTGGAAGCCGCTCGGCGCGGGGCCAACAACCAGAACGACGCCCCGCCCGCCCTGCGGACTCGCCCGGAGCCTCAGGGCGAAGCCCCAGCCCGGGGCGGTGGACCAGGCAAGATCCCAGCGGAGACCCCGCTGTCTTCGCATCGGCGCTCCTTGGCCTCCGGGGTCCCCAGGCAGTGCGCACGCGGGCCGGTGCGTCCAGGGACACCTGGGATCATGGCGCGTGTGTGCAACGGGCTTGGGGTTCCGAGCGTCGCGCCGGCGGGAATGGCACAGTGCCGGAGCCTGGGGTTGCCAGTGGAGGTGGCAGCGTCGGGGCAGAGGACTGGGTGAGATTCCTTGTGGAGTACAGGGAAGTCAGGGAAGTGAGACCCTAGGCTTAAATGTGGTCTTATGAACCCAGGGCCAGGGGAGACCTGATGAGGTCAGTGGCATCGCACCTCCAAGACCTCGGTGCCACCGTGGCCAGGGCTTCCTGGTGCTCCTGCTGCTCTGGCAACGTGTGTCTCACCTCGTGGCAGTGGTTAGTAGTATTGTCCCATGTCACCCAGGAGGAATCCGAGGCTCCTCTGGGGATAACGTGCGCAGGGTGAGTGAAGAAGCCAGGACTGGACTCGGTGTCTGCTTCTCCCTGGAGTCCGGATCGAACCCCACCCCCCACCCCAGGGGATCAGCCTTATGAGCAACCAGATGCCGTGAGAGTCAACCAACAGGAGAGCCCTGCCTACCTCCCTCACCTGCTCCTTCTGACCTTCCTCTTCCTCTGATGGCTTCTACTGGCCAAGAGGAGGTCTCCAAGACCCTCTCCCCTCCAAATGAATTGGCTGGAACCTTGTGAAAAGACCAGAGGACAGGTCAGTGTGTAGGATGTAGAGGCAGCCCGAGGGGGATTTGCCAGTACCCAGCAGGGCTCACCCAAAGCACCTATGTACCCTGGATTCTCATTAGGAGCCTGGCTCAGTACTCAGAGTTGTACAGACAATGAGAGAATTGAGCCATTCCTCCTAGAGGAAATAGAATTACCTTCCCACAAGCCTCTGCTCTTAACATTTTTGTCTACCAAACAACACAGTATCTTATTTTTGTGTGCTGCAGGTACTGACTATGGTAAGCTAATTCAAAAACAGGAAATCTGCAAATAATGAGAATCCATGAGATGTGCTTCTCAACTTGGTAGATGCATCAGAGGAGAAATGGCCATGGTAACATTTCAAAGTGTTTGCTATGCACCAGACATTCTTCCAGGCATTTAACCTGTATTAACTGATTTAGTCAACACAACAGCCTCTGGGGTGGGTATTGGTTTCCTTTGCATCTTACAAATAAGCAAACAGCAGCAGAAAAGTTGAAACAGCACATATTCTTAGCAAACTGTCTGTAACACTTCTCATATCATTCAGATCCCACAACCAGCCATGATGTAGCATGGAGTTGATTGCAAAACCCCCATGACTATTCAATATGAAATGGAGAATTCGGAGAAATATTATGCTGGTGCAGTGGCAGCTGTGTCAAGTTGAGGGCCCCGTCTGCAGCTCAGGAAGGCACTGAGGGCACCTCCAGAGCTGGGGGCTTTGCTGGGAAGTAGGCTCCACTCTGAGGGTGAATTCTCACAGGCCTTCCTGCTCGTTTTCCCTTGGGCACTTCTAATTCTGAACCAGCAGCTAGGGAGCCTCTCTCTCCAGCAGGTACCTTCTAGCCAGGCCACACCTCAAAGAGGAGTTGGTCTGGAGAGAGAAAAGAAAAAACATTTCTCCAAGAGCCTGTGGGAGTTCTGTATTCCTGTTTACCCTGGTGGGTCAAGCAGTCTTACCTGTGTGGCTAAGTTCTTTCCTGTGAGTTGGGATAGGAAAGGCCTCAGAGTGTAGACTCCACCGAGGGGCCCGCTGGACTTCACAGGTGGAGCTGGATTCCTGGCCTCGCTATCCCAGGAGCCCTTTCCTTTAGGTCTCTGCCCACGTAGAGACTGAGCCTTCCCTCAGCCACCCACCCCCTTCCCTCCCACCCTTTACCCCTCTCCTGCAGCCTGTGCCAAATGTTTGATATTCCCCAGGGCTTGGTATAGAGAGAGATCAGGGCATGGGAATATTTAAGCCTAGGAGAGCTGATCTGGCTGTCGGGCCCCACCCACTCTGTCTCTGGGTGAGAGACCAGGCCCCTCCCTGCTTAGCTCCTGGACTACTTCCCAGGGGGACTCTCTCCAACTCTGTCCAACTGAGGACAATGGCAGCACGTTATATCCCAAGAGGACCAGGAAACTACATTCCTCCCTAGGTTCCTACTTGGTTCCTGGTTTCTACCACATGCCTCAAGATCTGCTCCCTCCTGCACGAGTTTCAGAGATTCCTAACGCGACTGCAAGCTTCGCCTCCTGCCCCCATCCAGACAAACACGTCAAGGCAATGTTCCCTTCCGGGGAGGACAGGGAAGCACCTGTAGGTGCTATGACAGAAACAATGTCAGTTCAGGGCATCGAGCCTAATTTGTTCTGATTACAAAACTGATCTTTCTCTTTGCAGAATTGATGTGGACTTAGGAAGCACATTCAAAAAGGCTGTGTTGGTGGCTTGGAGAAAAAGAAAACAAGTCAAACAACATGGAGGGCAGAGCGGGCTGCGTGAGGGATGAAGGATTCAGACATGGCCCTGAGAGTTAACAGACAACCTTAGGGTAAGTATGTCCCCCTTTCTTAGTAGTACCCATTTGCAATATGTAACGTTTACATTACTTGCAAGGAGTTGGTACACGTACACCACACTTCTAAATGCCTTTGTTCATCCCCTTCCCTCATCTCCCTCCATCTCTTGGTCCCCTTCCCATTTGAGGAAGATCTAGGGGCACAAGATTAGCAGGGGAGTGAGGGATGCAGGAGAGGCAGTTGACCTGTGGCTCAGGTCAAGGTGAGCCTTTGTGTGGTCCCTGGGACGCTGAGGCAGAAAATGCACCCAGGATTTGCCCTGACCTGACACAGGAAGCCTGGGCAGCTGTCCCCCACGCCACTCAGTCACTGCCTCCTGGTGTCAGTTGGCCTGATCCAGAGGTGGCTGCCCTAAGCTCAGGTGTTGGGTGTGAGCCCAAGTCCACATGCTCTCATGCTGGGCTAGTGGTTTCTGCTGGTCCAGGGATCTGGACAGATGTCCTAACCATGGTGTCTACTGCACAGGGCTTCTCATGACATCCCCAAGCCCCATTTGGGAAACATGCTCACCTCATGCCACTGGCCCACCAGAGTGGGGCCCTTCTTTTGAACACAAATTTGCTTTACAAAATCTTGTCCAAGTTTTCATCTGGCTGTTCTTTGACCTCAAGAGCAGATCTATCCCTTAGGAGAAGGCATCCTCTGGGACATGTCCTGCTTGATGAGGGGCTGGCGCACCCTCACCCTGGGTTTGGCCTTCCTGTGGCAATGAGATCCCCAGGGAGTTCCGCAAGGTCCCAGAGGTGCCAGATTGATGATTCAAGTCAGGAGCTTGGGAACTAGGACTCTGCCACCCTGGCAATCTGAACCAATCAGAGTTGCCCAGGAGAACAAATTGGCTGGTGCCTTCAAGCTCATCTTGCTCTGCCCATGGCAAACCCCTCTTCTTCCCCCAGAGGCAGAGGTGAGCATGGGAGCACCAGAGCTAGTCAGGAAACTCAGCTCTGATCCAGGCTCGGCCACATGTTAGGAGATTCAGGGCAAAGCGTTTTGCTGAGGATCAACTTTCTCCTTCCTGTGTTGAAGTGTGACATTAAAAAGTTCCAACAGATCTGTGCAGTGTAACTTCTGAGATTGTTTTCGTGCTTTGCTTGTACACCATAGCCATCCTTCCTGCTCTGGTTCGGATGTGGTTTGTCTCCCAGGGCTTCAGGTGATGGAGGCTTGGTCTTCAGCATGGCAGTATCGATGGAGGTCCCAAGGTCACCGAGGGCTGCCCTTGGGTGGGGTTAAGTGGTTCTCGTGGGACCTGAGTCTGTTCTCACAAGAGCCAGCTGTTGCAAGCCTGATCCTTGAATTGTTCCCTTTGGCTTCCTGCCTTGCATGTGATCCTCACTCCCACAATTCTCCACTTGTTATGATGCCACCCACCATGGCGCCTTGGCCAGAGCTGAGTGGACGCCAGTGTCATGCTGTCAACCTCCAAACTGTGAGCTCGGTCAGCCTCTTTTCTTTATAAAGGAACCAAGCCCCAAGGATTTCATGGTAGTAATGAAAAATGGGCTAATACACTACTCTTATTTTTTTATTTGCTTGATTGATTTTATTAGTATATATTTGTGATGCATGATAATTACATTCACCTTGGGGAACTGATACAGACACATATTGCATCATGATCATTTGTACTCCCCCACGCCCCTCCCCTCCTCCCTCCTTCTCCAGGTGCTCTACCTATCTCTGGAGTGTACCTCCCTGTTTCCTACCATCTTTTTTTCTTTTTGCTCCTTAAAGCATTTATACTTTAGATCTCTCATTTTAAAGAAAGCATGATATATTTAACCTTCTGTGTCTGATTTATTTCACTTAGTATTATCGTCTCAAGATCTATCCATTTTTCTACAGATTATTCAAATTTATCCTTCTTTATGGCCGAATAGTACTCCACTGTGTTTATCTACCATTTTTTTTATCCACTCATCTATTGTTGGACATATAGGCCGCTTTCATAATTAAGCTATTGTGAGTTGTGCTGTTGTAAACATGGATATCTATATATCACTGGAATATCATGTCTTTGACTCTTTCGGGAAAATAACCAGAAGTGGTAGAGCTGAGTACAGTGGAATTTCTATTTTTAGTTTTTTGAGGAATCTCCATACTGATTGCCTCAGTGGTTGTACTAGTTTACACTCATACCAAGTGTAGAGGGGTTCCTGTCACCTCACAACCTTGCCAGCATTTGTTGATTTTGAGGCCTTGATAATATCCATCTTACAGGAGTAAAACAGAATCTCAGTGTTGTTTTGATTTGCATTTCTCTTAATGGCCAAAGGTGTCGAACATTTTCTTATATACTTTTTGGCCATTTGTACTTCTTCTGAGGATATATTCACTTCAACTGTCCATTTTTATTGGATCTCTTATTTTGGGGGGGGTCTAATTTTTTTGAGATCTTTGTATATTCTAGATATTAGTCCTCTATTTGAGGCATAGCTGGCAAATATTTTCCCATTCTGTAAGTTGTCTCTTCACTCTGTTGGTTGTTTCCTTTGCTGTTCAGAAGCTTTTAAATTTGATATGGTTCCATTTGTTGATTCCTGATATTGTTTCCTGTGCAACCAGGGTTCTATTTAAGAAGTCCTTGCCTATGCCTATGTCTTCCAAACTTTTACTCAACTTTTCTTCCAGCAGATTTAGTTTTTTTCTACTTTGATATCTAGGTCTTTGATTCATTTTTATTTGATTTTAGAGCAAGGTGAGACATATGGATCTAGACTCACTCTGCTCATGGGTAACTAGCTTCCCCAGCGCCATTTACTGAAGAGGCCATCTTTTCTCCATCTTGTGCTTTTGGCCCCTTTGTCAAAGATCCCGTGGCTGAATGTGCTTGGCACTGTTTCTGTGTCCTCTTTTCTGTTCTATTGATCCACATGTCTTTTTTTGTGCCAATACCAAGCTGTTTTTTTTTTTTTCAATCACTGTAGCTTTGTGATATAACTTTAAATCTGGGCTTTTGATGCCTCCTGCTTTGTTCTTGTTTCTCAGGATTAATTTTGCTATTCTGGGTCTCTTCTGGTTCCACATGAATATTAGAATTGTGCCTTTTTTTCCCTAGTTCTATAACAATGCTGATGGTATTTGTATTAGAATTGCATTTTTGGTAATATGGCCATTTTGACAACACTGGTTTTGCCTATCCAGGAATAGGGGCTATCTTTCCATTTTCTAATCTCTTGTTGATCTCTTTTTTCAGAGCATTATAGTTTTTGTTGTAGAGGTCTTTCACATCCTTGGTTAGGTTGGTTCCTAAGTATTTAAATTTTTTTTTAAGTTATTGTGAATGGGTTTGTTTTCCTGACTTCTTTCTTTTTTTTGTGGTACCAGGGATCAAACTTGGGGCCTTGCGCTGCGAGGCAGGCAGCGGAACCACTGAGCTAAATCCCCAGCCTCCTGACTTCTTTCTTGGTGAGCTCATTGTTGGTGTACTAGAATGATATAGATTTTTGTGTGTTGTTTTGTATCCTGCCACATTGCTGAATTTGTTTATTAATAAGTTCTAAGACTCTTCTGGTGTTTTTTGGATCTTCTATCAAATCTAAAACTTAACTCCAATAATCTCCCCTAGCCCACAACCAGACCAACAATAATAGAACAGGCCTCTCAGTAATCCAACCAACCTCACAGATTTAAGCATCACTTATAAGAAGACACTGAAGTGTTGCTCAAGATTATTGATTCTTACTTTTTACATAGCTCTAACAAATTTGTTCATCTGGTTTTCAAAAGTAAATTGGGGGCTATGAAGTATAAGGAGACAAAATGCCTGCTAAGAAGAAGCGTACTGACAACATAAACATGCTGGGAAAAAAAACCTATAAAAATCACAAAAAAGTGAAAGATCACTAGTCTTTTACAGCTTTGCTTCATAGAGCCTGAAATGAACATGATGTCGTTACATAGTACCCAGGTTTATCTGTGGTGCCTTTGCACATTAGCCTTTGTTCGCGAATGTATGGGAGTACATGCTCCATTTTAGAAAAGTATTCACTCATAAAAGAGCTACCTTTAAGAAAAGGAAAACAAGAACCGAACAATATATATTCTTTTAAATACTTAACCCTTTGCTTTTTGAAAAACTCATGTCTACAACACAATCTCTAATATTCCTGAAACTCAAAACATTTATTCCAAAATTGATTGAGGAAAAATAACAGAGTGTAAAGAAACTGAATTGCTCCAAATACTCTCCATTATATTGTTTGAAAATGTGATCATTATCTTCATACAAATCTTCGGAAAGAGTTGCACACAAGAGCATTTCCCCTGATGTTGTGTGGCATTTCAGTCACTATGTGACACAGGACGGGACCCACCCCACCCCCCATTCACTCTGCTTCCCCACATGTTCCTTGCACTCTCAGCCTGGCAATATTTGGGTTCGAAGCACCACCAAGAAATACTTGAAGATTCTTTTCTCAAATGTAACTGCAGTAAAGACATTTCATTTTGCAAAATACATTAACTTTTGGAGGATTTCACTTGCCAGTGAAACATTTTTATCCTTTCTTTACACAGACTCAGAAAAAAAATACATGGATGGGGATGAAAAACCAGTTTCCTTCTGACCATAGACATCTGGTCAGCTGTGGACCTGAGGAGCAACTCATTGAAGTGCAGGATGGTCCAGGATATAGTCACACACACAGTGCACACTGTGTCAGATGCCTGCCCAGTCCGAGGGACACAATGGCAAAACAACATGTAGCTCCTGCCTTGCAGGAGCAAATAAGATACGGTGTGACAAATGTTCCCAGAGGCAAAAGAACAGGAAGCTAGAAACATATAGGACAGGACAGCAACTGGTTCAGTCTTATGGGTATTAGAGGTTTCTTGGGGAAAGCAATATTTTAAGTGAGAATTAAAGGTTAACCGCAAGCACAGGGCCTTACTGTAAAAATAGTTTTCCAAAAATTTACTCTTTTTATATATTCTCCAGTAAAAAACAATCTATAACTCCAAATGTGTGCTTTAAAATCATATAATCTGGGCCTAGTGATACATGCCTGTTGTATCAGTTACTCAGAAAGCTGAACCCAAAGGATCACTTGAGTCTATGAGTTCAAGATCAGTCTGAGCGACAAAGCAAAACCACATGTCAAAACAAAAAAGATGAATTTCCTATATTCTCTACCTTGGTTAAAATATACACAATAAATAAATAATAAAATAATATAAGTAAATGGCTGGGAGGTAGATCTAGAACAAATTCTATCTTTGAAGGCAAAGAGGGGGGACACAATATTGCAAACTTATATTTGTTTCTTTTATACTTGTCCCAGTGTTTATTTCCAGGATGGCCTCCTTACCATTTTGGCACCGCACACTGCCCTCATCACAAGGACTGTTGTCACCAAAGTGATGGCTACTGTTGTATCTCATCAACACTGAGCTGATGTTATGTGGATGGTTCCTTTGCCCAGTCCCCACCAATAATACAGAATTTTCCATTGTATCCATTTGGCGATGTCAGTGAGGAAGAGCTGATTTGAGTAAAACATCTAAGCTCAAATCATTTTCTGCAATCTCTATCTGGCTTGAAATTTCATGTCAGTATCAGTTTTTAAAATTTCTTTTCCATTTTCCTTATTTAGACTTTGCAGAACAAAGGATACTTTATTCTCAATCTTCCTGGCCCTAAATATGAATCTGAGAATGCTTGTTTTACGATGCCTTTGATTTCTTTCTTAGTCTTTCAAAACAACAATAAAAATACACTGTTCTGGTATGCATTTATCAAAAGAGTATTTTATTTAGCAATTTCATGGGAAATGTTGAGTAAGTCCTACTGTTACTTGATCATTAACTGGAGACCCAGGCAAGGTTTGAGCATACAGTTGTCTTAGGGGAATTGGTAACTTCTGGGTTCACAACAGAACAGCAGAAAAATAAAGCTGGGGAAACTTCCTTCCAGCCAGACCCACTGAACTCTATGAGCAAATGGTGAAGACACAGACAAGAAATCAAAAGTGGCTCACAGTGATTGTTTCTTGGCTTGTTTTCTGAGGGGAAAAAAAAACTATTGGTCTTTCACTTATACATGTATTATGTACCCATTAGAAATTTAGAAATTTCTTTCCCGATAAACAGACATGGATCGATGGTGGGTGAACAGGTTCCTACACCATCAACTTCCATGGCTTTGACTATTGTCAGTATGCTGGTCAGTCATCAGAACAACTCTCCAGGCCCAGTTGTCTGCTTGATCCTAGATCCAATGACATTTGCAACTCACACACTCTGAGATGAAGTTATTGTGTCGGTGTCACCCTCTCCCATCCAATTCATTCCTTCTCCTTTGTGCCCCACATCAATGAGTGACCCCCCCTGCTATGTCAAATGTCAGAAATCAGGGAGCTTTGAATTAGCTCTCCTCTTATCAATTCTACCTCTCTCCTAACTCTCAAACCTATTTTCTTTTATGGTATTTTATCACTTACACCCATAGGTCATCATGAACTTTTGCTTGTATTTTTAGAAACACACACAAAGTAATCATTCTTAAGAGCCAATCTTTTATAAAAATAAAAACATTTCTAACTTGTTTTATTATAATTATTAACACATATTAGTTAAACAATGTAACAGGTTTCTTTGTGATATTCTCATACATGTGAATTGCATAATTTTATCAAATCTGCCTCCCATTGCCCTCTCTTAATCTCTACCCCTTCCCCATTGTTGCCTTCCCCTTTCCTAATAGTCTCTCTTCTACTTTCATATTATCTTTTTTCTTTATTTCTAGATTCCACGTACAAGAGAAAATATGTTAGACTCATCTGAGTCTGGCTTATTTGCTTATTATAATGATCTCTAGTTCTATCCATTTTCCTGAAAGTTATATGATTTGTTCTTTTTTATGGCTGAATAATGCTCAATTTGTATATATATATATATATATATATATATATATATATATATCACATTTCCCATTGGTGGTCATCTAGACTGATGCCATAGTATAGCTATTGTGAACAGGACCATGATGAACATGGTTGTGCAGGTATCTCTATTGTATGCTGACTTTGATTCCTTCAGATGTTTCTCCAGGGGTGGTATAGCTAGATCATATCATAGTTCTACTTATTTAGTTTTTATTAAGAATTTCCATAAAGATTTACATAGGGCTGAACTAATTTACATTCCCACCAAAAATGTACAGTGGACCCTAGACTTAGGAACTCAATTTGTTTGTGAGGGCTTGTTGCAGCTCAAGTTGGTCGATTGAAGGATCAGGCTCCTCTACACAGCCTTCAAAGTCTCTCCCCTGTATACAGGCAGATCTCAGTGTCCTTAGAGAGACATTGGCCCAGGATGTTGTAATGTTTCTTCCAGAAGTCTTTAAGGGTTAAATCTGTATCTGAGCCCGTCTGGAAGCACAAGTGGCTGGCATTGGAGTCATAACTTGACTTTGTTCATAAGTTAAAATTAAAATTCCAGTCATAACCCAAGTTTTTTGTATATCAGGCTGGTTTTAACTCAAGGATCCACTGTACAAGTATGTGTTACTTGCATCCCCATAAGTTTTTTAGTTTTTGTTGGGGTTTTTTTTGGTACCAGGGATCGAACTCAGGACCTTCCGCTTGTGAGGCAGGCACTGGAACCACTGAGCTAAATCCTCAGCCCTTACCCATCAGTTTTTATTAGTCTTTGTTTTCTTAGTGACAGCCATTCTTGCTAGGGTAAGATGAAATCTCAGTGTAGTTCTGATTTGCATTTCGCTGATGGCTAAATATGTTGAACTTTTTTTCATATAATTATTGGCCTTTTGTACTTTTTCTCTGAAGAAGTATCTGAGTTCATTTGCCCATTTATTGATTGGATTACTTTTTCGTTTTGATGTTAGTGTTTTTCAATCTAATTTTATCACTTCATTGCTCTGCCAAGTATTATACTCAGTAACACATGGCTCTTAAGATAAAGCATGAAACCTCACAGTAGGGCATATATCACCTTTACAACTTGACCCCACCTACCTCTGTCCACTTGCAAATTTCATCTTCATTGTGTGCTCATGTGTATTAGTATAGATTAGCTCTATATTGCAATAACAACAAATATTTCAGAGATTTAACAGATAATGTTAATATTTTGTTTATGTCAAATCTGGCATAAGTTGGATAACTCTCCAGGGTAACTGTCTCTAATGGGGTCCTTTAGTGACCCAGGATCCTTTGACCTTGTGGCTCTTCATGTCAACACTTGACATCTATCTTAACTGCCCAGAGGAAGACAGCGATTAGAGAATCCATGGGAGATTTTTACCACCTCTCCCAGGAAGTGACACACATCACAGTCACTCATTTCAATGGCCAGAGTGATTGCATGGCTCTGCTGAACTATAAGAAGGTTGGGATTTGTGACCTGGGGATCCAGGAAGGCAGCATATCCAAGTGACTGGGTGAACCCATAGCATTGTCTCTACCATACCAAACACAATCAGGAAGTGTGATGCTGCCAGTAAGGAAGACTATAGGACCTACATGACATCACATAGTGAACCAGTGTATGCATTATGGAAGTTTCAGAAGGAGCAGAGAAAGAGAAAGGGGCAGAAAACTTATTTAAAGAAATTCTGCCAGAAAATTCCTCAAACATCTATATTCATGAAGCACAAAAAACTCCAAATAGGTTGACGATAAAGATATTTTTCACTGAGACATATTATGACAAAATCATCAAAAGTCAAAAACAAGGGCCGGGGATTTAGCTCAGTGGTTCCACTGCCTGCCTTGCAAGCGGAAGGACCCGAGTTTGATCCCAGTTCAAAAAAAAAAGTCAAAAACAAGAGAATTCTGAAAACAGTGGGAAAATAATTACATACATGGGAACCTCTATAAGATGGTCAGCAGATTTCACAGCAGAAACATTGCAGGCCAGGAAAAGATTGGATGATATCTTCAAAATGCTGAAAAGAAAGGCTGCAAAAAAGAATATACATTGCAAAGCAGCCCTTCAGAAATGAAGAAGAAATAATCCACAGACAAACAAAGGCTGAGGGTGTTCCCCACCAACACACCTGCCCTATACAAGATGTTAGAGAAATGAAAAGGATGCTAATTAGTAACATAAAAACATATGAATGTATAAAACTAACTGGTAAAGGTAAGTGCATAGAACAATTTAGAATACTGTATTACTATAATGGTGAATTATAAACTTTGAACTTTAGTATAAAATTTTAAAAGATGAAAGTATTAAAGTAACTATAGAGGCTATTTTTCAATTTATATCTAATATAAAAATATATAAATTGTGATCTTAACACAAAATAGCTAAGAAAAGTAAAAGTAAAGATAGTTTGAATGCAATTAAAATTAAGTCATTAACTTAAAATAGACATAAGATTTTTATGTAAGCATCTTGGTAGTCACAAAGAAATAACTAAAAGTTGTTGTTTTAAAAAGATTAGCAAAAATGACAAACATTTTAACTAGAATAAGAAAGGAACACTCAAATAAATAGAATTATAAATGAAAGAGGCGGGATTACAATTGATGCCATAGAAATACAAAAAGATCATGAGAGATTACCATGAACGGTTATGAACAAACTGTAGAACCTAGAATAAATGGATAAATTCCTAGAAACTTACTCCTACCAAGATTGAGCCATGAAAAAAGAGAAAATCTAAATAGACCAATGAGTAAAGAAATTGAATTAGTAATCTAAAATCTCCCAAAACTGAAGCCCAAGACCAGAGAGCTTCACCAAAAACAAAACAAAACAAAAATTCCTGAAGACTAGACTTCCAAATGTATGAGGCTAGCATTATCTTGATACCAACACCAGGCAAGAACACTAAAAGAAAATTACAGTCCAATGTTCTCAACCCATAAATGAAATCGTCAACAAAATTCCACTTAATTGAATTTAATAACACATTAAAAGTATGACACAGTATGACCACTTGAGATTTATTCCTAGAATGTTTCCACATATGCAAATGAATAAATGAGATACACTCCTACACTGCTGCAGGTGCACAGACCAGAGGATCTAGCCCAACAGCTTTGGCAGGACACGGGCCCCTGTGCTTCTCCTGCCCCTCTCTGGCTGTGCAGAGCAACAAGACTGCTGCTTCTGTGGTTGCCCCAACCTGGAGACCTAGAGCAGCGGCCCACCACCACCCTTCTGTCTCCTCTCCTTAGGGACACCTGAACTGATCCTGCCTCAATCTCCTCAACTCAATGTCCCACCTCAGTGGGCCCCTAAAAACTCCATCCAGCTGCTTCCTCTGCAGGCGTTTTGAGCTAGAGACACAGCACAACTGCTACACTTAGGGCACAAACAGCCCAGAGGCCCCTGCTGCCTCCCACACCCTAGGCTGACCTAGGTGCAGCATGTCATCAGGCCATCTCTGCAGCTGTCTCTGCATACACATCTCCAGCCCAGGTGCCCTGTAGTTAGGCAGACAGCCTAACATGGTAGCACCACACTTCCAGATTTCAAATTGTATAACATGTACAAAAATCAATTCAAAATGGATCAAAGACTTAAGACATAACACAATAAAACTGCTAAAAGAAAATGTAGGGACTAGCTCTTAGACGTTTATCTTACTCATAATGTTTTTGGAAGCAAAAGCAATGTCTACACTACATTAGGAATTCATACAACTCAGTAACAAAAAAGCTGATTTTAAAGTGGGTAAAAAACCCAACAGACATTTTCAGAAAGAAAACACAGGAATGCCAACAAGTATAAG